TATATTTTATTAAATGACTTACTGTTTAATTTTACTATTACTTTATTTATTATTATATAACTTTCATTTAATTTTATATGATGAACTTAGGTGCATATACATAGTTGAAGGATCGACGGGATCAAATAAATTATGAAAACATCGTCAACCGAGACAATAAAAGATTTTATGCAATTGATCAATGTCCAATGGAGGTTTCCACTGGAGGGCTTTTGATGAAATTTGGTATGGTGATAGCTGGTTATCCGGGTCAATATATAGGATATTCTTTATCGCTGGAAAATATCTCATTTCTGAGAAAAAATACAAAAACTGTAACGTAAGAGTATATATACTAATATATAAAACCTAAGAATTTGGTTTTTGATCATCAAAACGCGGACGGAGCCGCGGGCAATGCTAGTTAGATTATAATTATTCAAAAATGGCACAGCATACATTATTGTAGCAGACTGGCGGGAAGCAGATTCTCTAAGGATAAGTTGCAGTGGTCTCTTCAACCGACAAAGTCACTATAAAACTGTCTATCAAAGTATCCATACGTTTATACAATTGATAAAATACTGTTAATATGTAAATAGTTCTGAAACTGGTGTCGCTTATACATACACACAGCAGCTAGAATCTAATCCATCCAATATAGAGATAAATCTTTGGTAATTTTACCTTTTATTATCACTTGGGATACGTAAACATACACATCGTTTTGTAGAAGGAAGGTCAAAATACATTTCCATGAAAATAGTATTTGTTTTGTGAGCGAAGCTTTCACTATCACATTTTGGCAACATGCCCGGAATCGAGCGTCAGCGGTACGAGGCGCGGCGTCGAGACGACTACGTATACCAAACACTACGAGTACGAACAGCTGATGTGCGTAAAAATCGGGGGTTTATTTTTATCACTAGATTAAATAAGATGGAGAATATTTGTGTAACGTCACGAGTTGTTAGATACTTAACAGTTATAGTAAAATAAATAAAAATAACTATTAATTTCGCGATATATAAATATCAAGATTGTTCACTAACAATTAGATAAGAGAGCCCTCTGTAGATTTACTTATTTAAATAACCTGGCGACACGCTTGGTTCAGTTTGTAGTGACCGTATTTGCTGTGCCAGCGGTCGCGGGTTCGAGTCCCGCTGGGGGCATTCATTTGTGTGATGAGCACGAATGTTTGTACTCCAGTCATGGGTGTGTATATTTATAATAGGTACCTATGTATTTAAAGTTATATGTATATGTGTAGTGTATCAACTATCTGGTATCCATAGCACAAGCCTCGTAGCTTACCACGGAATTAGATGGTGCTGTGTTAATGTCCCAACATATTTATTTATAAATAGCCGTATTTGTATATACCTACTAGCGACTCATCCTCGCTTAGCTTGGGTTCGTCTTTAGAAAAACAAATCTATTCCACGGGAACCGTATAATTTTCCGGTGTTTGTTATTGTGCTATTCCAGACTATAACCTATTTCTGTGTTGAGTAATAAACATACAAACATCCATCTAAACTTTTATATTTTTATAATATTAGTATGATAACCACGAGCTAGCTGTTCAGCCATGAGCGGAAATGCAAACTACCGGAAGCTACATTAAATCATTTTTTGTTGATGAAACTAGGCATATTATGATGATGACTAAGATAGCAACATTTAAAAAAAAAAGATTTGTAACAACTATCTTTTTAACTGTCACATGGTGGCAACACTGCTCCAGTTCAATCGCGTAGTTTACTATACACGATAACCTTCGATAATACCCTGATCTTAGGGGCTCAAATGGGTGACTAATTTGCAATACGTCAGTCATGTGCTCTTTCATACCCGGACAAAGACCGTGTCATTGAGATAAGAGGGGTTGAGAACATTTTTTTGCCTCATTTTTAGAAGTTTGATTAATCAACTGTTTATATTAAAGTTAGATAACGCTCCTTGATAGTATTGATATTATTTAAATTAATTATAAATAATGAATTTTAAAAAATATTCCATTTTCGCATATATCTAAAGTAGCATATTATAGAAATTATGATATATTACTTTATGATAATTTTGACTTAGAATGTGTTATTAACATACGAATGCATCAAACCGATATTGCCTGCCTTTATTTTTAATTATGTCAAGCAAAGTTATAGAAAATGGAGAAAAATAAATATTCTAAGGAGTATCAAACATTTTTTTTTATTTAGGTACAGCGATTAACACATTATTTATGTGTTACTTTGAATAGTAATCTAATCCACGACTTTATCTCGTATATTGTTCTCAACTAAACCTATTGGCATGTAGTATGTGTTTAGTAACGTCAAATGTTATATCTGTATTGTATACCTGTACCAGATTGATTTACTGAATTTATCCGCAAATCTTCATAGCTGTTAATGTAGACACTTTTACACTTTATTTAATTTTTACTAATTCATATGATGTAAACGAAATTTGCTGAGACTTTACTCTACGGAAAAAGGAAATCTTCTAGTCTACATCCATTCATCAAACATCTACTTTAGCTTACTAACAACTAATTCGACATTTTATAGCGAAAGAAAATTTGTGAAGTATAAAAAAGACTTATATTTTAAATAAAACTATCTTTTCGAAATTTTTCGCGGATTTATTTTGATTATTGGTTCCCGATGTTTCGAATGCTTTACAGCAATAGTCACAGGAGAGACTAAGGTTTTAGATGTCTCAAAGGCATTATATAGTTGTTACAGAAAACTACTAACTCGAAACGTCGGGTACCAAAAATCTAAATAAATCCGCGAAAAAATCCGAAAGATTTTAAATCAAACTATTTAAAATGTCAAATATTCGCGTAAATCTATGAAAGTATATAGTTAAGTAAAAATAATAATATATGTAATTTATTTAAACAACATTAAAATCGAATGTCTTCGTTATGATCGATAAGGCCATGAATGGTCAAATTAGATTACATAAGGTCGATAAAAGTATTACGTCGACAATATTCGTATTTTTAGAACTTGCTTGATAAATAAATTGCCGTGAGGGGTAATTTGGAGTTCAATTGTATCGTTTGTCTCCACATAAAGACCCAATTTAGCTATTCTACAGCTATTTTTATAACGAAAAATTAAAAAATAAACGAAACATTATTTCTGGTTTTAACAGTGTGCAAACGGCAATTTTGTACCTAGACATCGTTCTGAGATAAGCTCAGAATCTGTGAAAGTTACAACTTTGATGTTTAGAGAAACGATACTTCGGATTTTTATCTTGAATTACCAAATATGAAAACACGATTGGTGAAAATTTCCTCGATAATACATTATTTTTGAAAAATACATGTTTTTCACATGTATTGCTATTTATCTCAGAAACAGCTCACAATTTGGTTAGGATTTTTTTGTTTTTCTGGAAGCCTAGAAGTATTTCTTCAGTTACCGAATTTAATTTTTCCGATTGGTTATTTAATTAAAAACTGTTGGGCGCTTAAATACGTTGAGCATCTATCGCTCTATACATCTCACTCACGATAGAACATTATCTTGTCATCCCGCTCCTCCGAATCCCAACCGTAAAGGCCTTATGGCGCACTCTTAAGCGTTTTAGCAATTTTTCATTCTCTAAAATGTTTAATATGTGTCCCGATTTATTTTATATGATAGATTAATCTAAGAAAAGTTTTAAACAAAAAAATTCTCTAGCTATACATATTATTTATTTTTTTATTCTGTGTAAACTATTACGAAACGAATCAACAAAAATTACGCAAAACTGGTCGAAAATATTAGTAAATATAGAAAAATAAAACGAAAGTAAATCTATCAACGCCCACGTGGTTTTAAATAGCGTAAGCGTCTATCCTTTATGTTTACATCACTGAATTTCATAAATAGTCGGGTAAAGGTGACATTTATCGATTTTAATTGGGCGTGTTTAGCTTCTAATATTTTTTAAGTATATTATGTACTTATTGATTAGGTTAAACATATACTATTAAATAATTGTAAAACAATTATATTACGTTATCATTTATTTTATTGAGAAAATAGTGATAAGTTGCATTTAGTGACCGACCGAAAACTCGGTTTTGGTTTTGGTTTCGGCCAGTTTCGGCCAAAACAAACCGAATTTTCGGCCGCACTGAAGCTCAGTGTTCATGAATTGTCTCGTTACGTTCGGGTAAGTTTGTGCATCATGGTGAGTTAAGGTTATATGTATACACACACCACTATTCTTGCTAAAGTGTGAGTGTATACTGTCTCTGTGGTCTAGTCATTAGCATTTACGGCTGGGTTCTGAGGTTCTGGGTTCAATATAGTGTATTGGGTTACTGACAAGAAGTTCTCAGTGGAATACCAGAAACAAACAGAAATGGAAAGATGGCGGTGTTTCAACCTCGTGGCTCGGAGAGCACATAACGCCGACGGTCCTCCGCCTCATCACCGGCGATGTTAGTACGAATTGCCGTGCCGGCGGAGTTTGAGACTCAAATTGAGACAGTATAAAAAGTGCAATAGTGCCTGTTTCGTAGAGGTCTCTACTTATTCATAAGTCTCAGCGATGTTGGGAGATCGGTCAGGACACTATGAGTATATTAAGTGTATTTGTGTGCGTGTGTGTTACTATTTACTAACTTAAAATTTAGTACAAGATATTAGATATAATATGGGTAAAACATGAGTTACTGTTAAGGGACGCTCCCGAACCAAGTGAGGTGTAGTCGCTAGATCACTACTTAACATATAAAACATGAACTACATTTCACCATAAATAGAAATTTTAACATGTCTCAATATATTTCGGTTTCGGCCGAAACTGAAACCGAGACCGAAGGTTCGGTTTCGGCTGCAAACCCTGTTTGGGTCGGACACTAGACTTGCAATACCTGGTATAATTTTTTGTCGTCTATTTTTAATAAAATGTTTATTATTGAAGTATTCTTTTAATGAATTAATGTACAAATTACAACTGTTAATCTAAAATGGATATGAGTCTAATAAATAATTACTATTTACCTTAAAACATAGGCATCAACTTGCTCGCTCTGTGTGAAAGAAATTATTTCACAGCGGACTATCTTCAATACATTCTCCCATTGCTGGCTGCAAATAAAAAAAATCTCATTATTGTTAACAATATGTTTGATACTTTTTAAGTCTTATTTTATTAAGTTTAGTAACAACTAACAATATTACCATAGTTTCTCAGAATATGTTAATACTGGCCAGTTCATTTAAACAGGCCAAATAATCAAGTATCTGTCCAAGAGCATCCATTATATTTAAGATGCAGTTATAAAGATTGCAAAAACTTTCTTGGGAAACCAGTTCTGAAAATTTGGGCCCCAGTTAATTATTTTAAACCAGTTGAGAGGAGATTTTACAGGACTTGGTCTGCTAATAAGTAAAAATACAAGTAAATTGTAGTTTAAAAATGTAGTTTAAATATCTTAACAACTTCTGGTTTTATTCATTTGCAAAAGATTATTGAAAAATATAGGTAATATTGCCATCTGGTGTTAATTAAAGAATCACGAAAATTTGAAAAATTAAGATATGCTATGAAAAACTAATTTATCATAGAAATATATTATATTAAACAGAACAATCGATGTCATTTTGTTTAAACGTTGTTCACAAAAAATACTTAAATAACGCGCCGTCTATTGCAACTAGCCGACAAACTATTTTATAACCGGCATTCAGAACAGCTGATTCTAGAACGTTCCATAACAATAACAAATGTAGAACTAAGCCAACACAATAAATTACATATAACAAAACAGAAAACTCGTATTATAGTTAATTCATTGTATCAAGAAAATGACAATTCTTGTAAGATAACCAATGAAATTAAGTATGACAAATGAGCATTAAAATAAAAATTTTGACCGGTAACCTAAAAATTGCGCAACAACAGAGAACGATGCATGAAAGAAGTTTTTACTAGTTACCAAAAATCAAGTACTTACCGAGTAATTTTTCGGAGGTCCGCGTGTTTTACCGGCGTAAACCAAATTTCGATTAACTTTTCGACACCCTCAAAAAATTGATCATTACTTTCACTATTTGTTATAATTTCCGTTCCAGCCATTATAATGTTTTGTTATAATATATTTTTTTTGAATTTAAGGGATGCGGGATTGCTTGAGAAACACAACCACTTTAGATCAACCTCGGAAGTTGACTGAATCAGCTGAATGAAACAAAATTATTGGCAAACTGCAGGTGATAGAGGAGGAGGATCGGTCTCTCTTTCTTGCAGAGCGAGCGAGTCGCGACGGCGCGCTGTCGTTGCCGAACAAAAAACTGGTCATAAATTACAGCGTTCAGAGGTTTTATAACATAGAGCAATAACGCTGATTACGTGATAAGGAGATGTCATCGGTCATCCCTGTATCGTTTGTTGATGTTGCCATGTAATTGTCTTAAATTAATTAAAAAATTACGTTAATATAAAAATGACGTATTGATAAATTCCAAAAAATGACGTCACTGAGTAAATAAAGAAATCAGTTGTTTACCATTAAGTTTTATTTTCAATGTTTTCCTCGTCTTCTTGTCTTTTCTTGTATGGGGGTGTCCATTAATCACGTGATCTTTTTTAGCATTTTTTAACCCCCCCTCCCCCATTGGTGATACGTAGTGAGGTTTAAGACCACCCCCCCTCCCCCTTCTCAACATCACGTGTATTTTTAGTACCTACAACGAATCTTAAAATTTTCTGAATATTATCTTAATTTAAATACAGGTATAAACTATAATCTTATTTTATTCTGAAATTAAGGACCATAATAAAAATGTCTACACCAGGTTGCAAGTTTTTTTTTATTGCCATAACAATGATAATAAACGAAGAGTGTAATCATAGGAAAAACATGTATTGTACTAGTACATGAATATATTTAATGTATATTGTCCTCGAACCACGGATTAGCAAGACATTATTCAACACTAACAACTGGATAAGCGTCTTGCAGGTGTTTGACGAAAAAATAAATACACGAGATATCTTACTACACCCCCCCCTCCCCCTTGTGTTATTTTCGTGATTTTTATCAAACCCCTCCCCCCCCTTTCAAGCCTCACGTGATTAATGGACAACCCCTATGTGGGTAATAATAAACTAAATAATAAGAAGCAGAATGTAGTATGCGGGTGAGTAGGTAGTGGTTGCCTAAAAATTCTTCCCTCATTTATAGTTTAAAATCTCATGCGATGTTAAAAATATAATTTATTTAAACAGTGCTTTTCAATGTTACTGACATTCTCAACTAAAAATTATTTAAATAAGACTATTAATTACCATAAAGATAATTATTTCATATAATTAATTTAAAATAATTTAGATCAGTATAATTTTTTATTTAATTTATAATAATTTTACTCATTGTTTGCTTGCATTAAGCTGTTTTTAATATTATTTCTGTATGGATGACCATAGTTTGTCTATCAGTTCAGCTCATCTTTTAATCTATATATATGATAAAATTGTAACTAAGTTGAATCTGCACATTAAATATTTTTTGGAAAATCTAATTGAAATAGACATTATTATTGACACAGAGTCTGAATCTATAGTTTTTAGAATTTTTGTCTGTCTGCCTGTCTGTTACTGCATCACGAGAAAACTTGGTATGATGATAGCTGGTTATGCGAGTTAACATATAGGATACTTTTTACCACATGACAATATCTCATTTCTGAGAAAAAATACAGAAACTGCAATGTAAGAGTATACTAATATGTAAAACCTAAGAATTTGGTTTTTGGATAATGAAATTGTAAATGGCACAACACAAAAAATTTATGGAGTTATTATAATCTTTTATTTAAAACATTAATTGAAAAATTACAAATTATAGTTTTTCAAAAGAAGCAATGAGTCTGTGCAATCTCCCATCTTCTACTCCTTTTAATAATGTTATATTTCTTTTTAAAATTGGAACATTAGGGCATACATCTGGTTCTTTTTCTTCTTGACAAAAATCTTCTATACGTGGTTCGAGATCTTTTTTAAGAGGTATTCTGTTTTTAGTATTTTTTTTGTCCTGTTTGTCTTGTAAATTAGTAATATCCGCATTAAGTTCTACTAAATTTTTGTATATTCTATCATTGAAATGGAAATTCAGCTTTTTGGTTATCTGAAAGAAGTAGCATTATAAGAGTAACCTTGGATATAAAAATATATATCTTCAATTTAAAGCATGCAATTTAGACTTATTTAAACAATTTTTTTATAAAATTAAATATTTTGGATTACCTTAGCATTAATATGAGACTTATTTATATTTAAATCATCAGGAGAAAGTGGAGGTGGTACACTTTTTCGAACGTCTGATAAATAGCTTGCTAAAACTTCGCTGGAGCATAATGTAGGCTCATCGAGATTAATGTCTCTTTGTGTTAAAGGTTTATGTGGGTTTTTATTTAATTTAGATGGACCCGCATCAACATCGTGGACTCCTTTACGTTCTATACGTATTTTTTTCTCATAATTTCGAACAAGTGTTTTTTTAACTTTAGGGTCTGTTCCAGTTTTTTTCATTATATATTTTGTTACTTTTCATAACATACATTAAGAGTGGATACCATACTTTCATGAGTTATGTGTTATCCTTTATTTTAATTAGACTTGAAGTGTGTTAAAATCAAGTTTAATTTACTTTTTCCTTTTATTATTCACAAGCCACAAGATTGAAATTTGAAGATTTACTGTATATAAGTGTATAATCTATGTTTACTGTTTACAAAATTTAAACTCTTTCAGAGTTAACGGCTGGAGTTTGCTGGTTTGCAATTGTCATTGACATTTGACATTAAAAAATAATAACAGATTATTTTAAGTCTATAAATTACATTAAACTAAAAAAAAAAACCTTAAGTATATATACATAATATAATAACTAAAAAATATTATTAAAAGGAGTCCCTTTAGGCAAGGTTCCGAAGATACTGGCAGCGTTCCCCCTTTGAATAGCTAGACTAATTCTCTGTCCGAAGTAGCTGCCAGCTCTTCGGTCTCCTGTGACGTCGTATAACCTTTTTGCTATTTCCTTAAAAAGTCTTATAGCGCTAGGACCCCACGGACCAAGGGTCTCGACACCGAAAGGAACAAAATCATATTCAGAACCTAGATCCCTGTATTTGTATGCTTTGGTTTTTTCAGCCGCTTCACAAGCCGCACCAGCTCTGTTGTTGGTTCCATGTAGATGGGAAGGGGCGAGCGTGTCTGAACAGGTTGCATCCCATACCAGCACCCGGCCCATCTTCCATGGAATTAAACTCATACCATCCGGTCTCTTGCCATCGTCTCTTGCAATACCAGTCGGCTCAAGTAGACTTGGCACGTTGATGGTGGCAAGGGACCGGCGTATGATATCGTTAAGCGCGGCATGTCTCGAGAAGCGGCCTGCACTTTTTTGGCATGACAGACCATGATGTCTTATTATCTATATTATCTATATAGCTTATCGACATCACTACCACAGGGACATTTATGAGGAGCGCAGACCGGAACCCCAAGCCGTAGACAGGTTGCGATTCGGAGCGTTTCAGGCTCCAGAAATGTTCCTGTATTTGACGAAGGGTACGCGTGAAGCCAGTAGCCAGCCTCATGCGTACCCACGGCCAAAAGCCTAGCACGCGCCGAGCCTGTACTACAGCTTAAAAGATTGTCATAAGTCAATTTGCAGTTTATGTCGTCCCAGCTCCTCTGTGAATTTGCAGAAACTGGAAAATTTTGACCTGGGCATGCAATTAAAAAAGCGTTTCTAGCTTTTTCCAAACCAGCAATCTCAAAGTTTGAAGGGGATGCCCTTAAAATTTGACTTATGAGATTCGCTGAACTATGAATAGAAGATAGGAAGGCTGGTAAAGCGACACTGGAAATTTTGCGAATCCCTAAACCACCATAACGGATAGGTAGGAATGCTTGGGTCCAAGATTGCTCGTTCAGTTGCATATTAAGAATCGATTCTAAGCTGATTTTGATTAAGTCGTCTACTTGTGTTAAAAGATCTGGATGATTCCAAAAGGAGCAGCAACGGAGCACATACGTAAATTTTGGGACGAAAAGACAGCATTTTAAGATGCAAAGTGCATAATGTGGACTAATTTCAAGGAGACGGTCAACAGAATTTTGAAATTTAGTGATTGAATTATTAATATATTCCGAAATAGATTCATCAAAAATTGGAGAACCTAAAAGGTAAAGGGAATTACTGTTAACTATTTTAATATTTGGAGCCAGAATATTAAATTTTTGTTTTACATCATTTAAATTTAAGTCACAGTTATTTATAAAAAGTTCACATTTGCTAAAATTAAGTTCCAAACCAATGGCTTCAAATTTATTTTTGATTAAAAAAAGGTCCGAAAACACAGTATCCACATCACCTCCTATAGTTCCGTCGTCCAAATACCAGACGTTGAATTTAGAATATAATTTTTTAATTATCGGATTTATAGCCAAACTAAAAATTGCAGGCCCAAGGGGATCACCCTGTTGACAACCTACTTCCGAGGATAGTTCATTTGAATGATATAATAATTTTGTTGGGTCAGCGTAACTGAGAAGAAGATAATTGTATATTTCCGGTATATGCTGTTTTATTTCTGTCAGCAGGGTATCCATATTTACCGAATTGAAAGCATTTTTGACGTCAATTTTGAGCAACACGTCAGGCTGGGCGTAAGTTAGGAAAGAGCGTAAGGCATGGACGGCTGCCTCGCAGGCTCCTTTTACACCGAAACCTAACTGTACGGGTTCAAATTCCGAATTTAATTTTGGTAAAATATGTCGAACAGCAGTTTTGGAGGCCAGACGTCGAAGTGTTGATCCAACAGCAATTGGTCTTACCTCTCCGTCCTTTTTCGTGAGGGCGATGAGGTTCGCGCCGAAAAGAATGGGAACAATTTCTGGATTGACATTACCGGAATACATAAAATTGATTAATTTAGTGATCGAGTTTACAAGTTGCTCACCTGCATCACCCACAGAATACGATGTTAAGTCTTTCAAATGTTGGGGTGAGATTCCATCCAAACCCGCAGCCGAACCTGGTTTAAAAGATAAAATGGCATCCGCAACATCTTTGATTTGAATTTTAAGGCATTCTTGCACTGCTGTTGGTGGGTCGAGAAAAAATGGGTTTACTGGAGCTGGAGGGAGTTTTGTCCGTAAGGCCTGAAGGGTGTCAGGGGTATCTGGTGATAGCACGTCGTTGGAGAACAAAAGGCGAGCGGCACCTTTAAGATCTCCGTCACATATTTTGTTTTGAATGAATTTGTTGCGATTACGATCATGTTTGATTGGAGGTGCGGGAGAAGGCGAGGAGCTTACAGCACAGTTATTCTTGATCTTCTATGTCAAGGATAAATTCGGTTCTTCAGTTTTTATTATATGTAGTGTACTGTATGAAAATAAAAATAGGTTCTGCCAGTCTTGAGTACGATTGCTAATGTAACATTTCTGGATTAAATGTGACAAATGTGTAGCAACTGTTGTTCGAGCTCCTCGTGGGATTCTTTTAACTATGGGTACACTATTTTTCAAATGGCTAAGATATGTGTGGAAAGGAGTTGCATCGTTGGCTACATAAGTAGGCGCATTCGGAATAATGTGGTGGATATCTAAAGGTGGACTGTTTTGGCTACTACATTTTCTGTGTGTTTTTGTAGTGTGTATGTTGAGGCCTTTCAAAGATTTGAATGTTTTGTTGCACTGTGTACATGTATGGGTCGTGTTCGACGTGCTATCACAAGATTGGGTCACGGACTGCATTTAAAACATTTCAATACTTAATTAAAAAAAATAGCTTAAAACAAAATTAAAAAACACAATAAAGTAACTTAAAATAAACACTGAAAAAAATAAATAAAAATAAAAAGTCAAAATATGACGGCTGCTTTTTACGTGCAGATTTTACGTGTCCGGGCTTGTATAATTTGTTTACTAACTGGAACCGGCCGTTGGAGCAGACGGGTCCTGGAGTGGAGAGCACGTCTTGGCAAACGCAGTGTGGGATGTCCTCCGGCCAGATGATCGACGATCTACGTAAGATTGTCTGAGTAGGCAGGATGAGGATTGCGGAAAACCGGGATGTCTGGCGTGAACTTGGGGAGGCCTATGTCCAGCAGTGGACTGCAATAGGCAGAGCCATTAATTTGTATAATTCCATTTATTATTCATTTCACTTTTCCGTGTCTGTTTCTCCTCTTTTGTACACAGACAAATATATAATTTGAAAGTGAGGCTTTTTTTATTACACTTTACCAACGTTTTTCAACTAATTTAAAACGTAATTTTTAATTAAAAACGTATAAAATATATAAAAGCAAAATGCGACTTTGACAGTTTGACACTCACTCACTTTTTTTCAGATTCATAATAATGATCATATTAGATTGATTCCGTATTCCAAATAAAATGTGGATAAATCTAAACAAAAAAATAGCTAAATAATATTATTTTGCATAAAAAATTTGAAAGCTTAAGGTTAAGTTAGAAGTGTTTAATAATTAATGTATGAAGCTAAGCTTATATAATCAACATAATATTATAATTTTCTTTGCTAGACTCGTAACTTTCCACGATACTTGTGGTCCGACAAAAATATGATCTATGCGATCGTTGTAAACTGGATCTAACCATGGACCATATCATCCAGCAGTGCCTTTTGTTCTTCTACAGCCAATCTCTAAACGTCTTATTCAAAGTGGCCAAATGTTATCTCCTGGCTAAAAGGATTTTTCCTTTAATTCTTAAACCTTACATATTTTTATTCGACTGCGAATAAATTTTCCCATCTTTCTAGAACGCTTTTTACGCAGCCGGGTTTTAATATTTATAATATTTTTTTTATCACATACATTATACGCACAAACAAAAAAGTTCTGTGACTTCCCGGTAGGAAATTGTTTACTACTCCAATAAAGGGTAAGTAAAATAATTGCGACTTTTAATTAAATAAAATTAATTTTCATAGCACTTAAAAAGAATTAATTAATCCGTATTTGTTTAGAACTGTTTTAATTTTGTAGAATAACGATTCATATATCATTTTTCTATCATTATTACAATATAATCTGTCTTTTAAAATTCTTATTTGAAGGTTGACAGATTTACACATCTGTCATTTAATATGACAGATTATTTAATTTTGCAGTGAGAACTGAGAAATCGTCAATTTCATATTTTATTTCTTTAACCTTTTATAAGCTAACTTTCATATTTTTATCAAGTCGTACGTTAATAGATTAAAATGAATAATGACAGTGAATTTAGTGTAAGTGATTTTAAAGAAATCGTTATTTTTTGTAATATTTTACTTTGTTTATTCTTTGCCACATAGGTAATGATTTTAACTGTTTTCAGAATCCCAACAATTTGCCTGTAGAAATTGTAACAGTGTCTGTAAAAAACTCAGGTGTAATACAGCAAATAAAGGCTTTGGTATAAAATTAAAATAATTTTTGTTTATAATCTTGTAACAAACTTATAATGTCATTAGTACTACTCTTACAAAATGTTACACAATTCATACACTTAATGTGAATAAATTGTGTAATATTAATGTTGTTATTTATTCTTAATCTATACATATAATAAAATCGTAACTAAGCTGAATCTGTACATTAAATATTTTTTGGAGAATCTTATTGAAGTAGAGGTTTTTATCAATACAGAGGCTTAATCTATAATTTTTAGATTTTTTGTCTGTCTGTCTGTTACCACATCACGGAAAAACTACTGTATGGATTTTGATGAAATTTAGTATAATGATAGCTGGTTATCCAGGTCATCATATCTATACTTTTTACTGCAGGAAAATATCTCATCTCTGAGAAATCTATGCTAAACGTTAAATCGTAAGTAAGGATGAATGGGGTGGCAGGAATGAGTCCCTAGTTTAACAATAAACTTGTGGATTTTTTTATCAACTTTTTATTTTTAAAGGATCCATATTGGGTTGAGAAAAAAGATTTTATACAATATGAAAGACCTCCTTCTGGACCTGATTTATTGCTTGGTGCAGTAGATGCTTGGAAAACAAAAATGGAAATTTATTTAGGAAATTTAAAGTGGTTACTTGAATTAGAACATCATAGGTAAAAAAATGCCATTTTTTTTGGATTACTTAATTATAAATACATTCTTAAATTTATTAATATTTATTTAGATTTTGGAGTACTATTTTACACCATCCACAGTGTATGGATGCAATAATTTCATTCATACAAGATGCAAACCCACCATACCTTGAATTACATGATAGCAAAGATGTTCAGAAATTGTATGAAGAGATTCGAAGACTTATTCTAGTTGTGTTTAGCAGACTTGTTACAAATAAAGAGAGTAAGGTAAGATATAAATTTACTTAAAAATAGAAAATTAAAGATTCATTCATTTGAAATAAATATATTTACAAAAATGTCACACAAATAAAATATATTATTTAAAGTTTTAGTATTAATCCTACAACAGTTACATTACTTGTATTAACTTCAGTCTTCATCTCTAGTAAAATATGCATATTATTACATTTATTATTATATTAGTAATTTTTTTAAAGAAATCAAACTAAAACCTTCATTATTTATATTATCAAATCAATTTTACATTTATTTATCTTTTCAGTCACAATGGATGACAAAAGAATTTATGGCAGATCTTATATATAACAATTTTATATTCACAATACCAGTTTTATGGGATTTATGCCTAACATATGGTGCAGATAATACTAGACACATGTCAAAACTCATGGAAACAGTATTTACCATACAGCCAAAATATCAGAATGATGCAATACAAGCTTTAGTATTTGTTCAAGAGGTATGAGTATGGAGGACAGATTACTTTATGAGTTTCAAGTATTAAAAAAACACATGTGTATTATAAGAATATTTCAACAATATTTTGTTAATTTCTAGGCATTCAAGTTTATAATCTTACAAGTGAACAAAGATTATGAAAGTGAAGAACCACCGAATCTCCCGGAGACATTTAAAGGGTTTAGCGAAATTAAGAGGCCTTCTGGAAGTAAAAATCCAGATAAAATAACATTTAGTATTTTAAAAGATTTAGTTATACATATGTTAGACATGGCTATGACATTAAGGATATTTGTAGAAGTATACCCAAAGAGTGCAGAATTAATGAAAAAGATCAATTTTCTTATAAGGTGAGATTTGTTTTCTGTCTAAGTGGCATTTATAACTCTATTTTTTATTATTTATTAACACAATATTTATATATTAACACATATTATAGACTTAATACATATTACTCTTGCTTCTTTTGGATGGTAAGAATAAAGATGGTAAAAAAAAGTTCAGTGTTTCTTATAATTATTCTATTATTCATAACATTCACAGAAAAAAACTTTTCCTGTATAACAGTGAAAGAGTTCTTAAAAATAGTCTATAAATAATGTGGAAAAATACTTTTTTTTATTTTGATAAATAATAATATTAATGTATTTGACAACACATTTAGCTCAGTTTGTAGTGACCCTACTTGCTATGCCAGCGGTCGCAGGTTCGAATTCCGCTGGGGGCATTCATTTGTGTGATGATATAAATATTTGTACTCCAGTCATGGGTTTTTATATATGTGTAGTGTATCAACTGTCTGATATCCATAACACAAGACTCATAGCTTACCATGGAACTAGGTGGTGTAGTGTGCTAATAAAAAAAAAATTAAATAATTTAACATTGAATTGCCCATTTTCTTAAATAATACAGATAATAAAAGGTCAAAGATTAAAGATTCATTACCAAAACCACTTTTTCAGTATAGTCCAACTCTACGAATATGGGATACCGCATTTGTATGAAAAGTTGCAAGAAGTGGGAGACGAAACCAGTATAACGTTCACCGAAGTAGAAGGCTATATAGATTTAGCAAGAGCCGAGTTGATAGACATGTTGAAGGAAATTCTAGCTGTTTACAAGAATGCTATACTTGATGGAGAGTAAGTACATCCATATCCTAATATAATATTAAAATGCGAAAGTGTGTGTTTTTTTGTTTGTTTGTTTGTCCTTCTTTCACCTCGAAACGGAGTGACCGATTGGCGTGATTTTTTATGTGGAGATTGTTGGGGAGCTGGATAGTGACATAGGTTACTTTTTACCACGGGAGACTATCCCATCCTCACGGGACGACGCGTTATAATTCAACCCACAATAACTCATCATACTTTTTTATATATAGATATACTTATTTTAGTCATCTGTTGTGTCTTAAAAAAATTATCCATTTAGAATATTAAGTACAAATAGACTAAAAGGTAAAACAAAGTGTCATGTTGTGTTATTGTTATGATAATATAAGCATTAAAAGATGTTTTTTTTACTGTAACATGACTTATATATCTGTACCTACACAAGAGTTGTGCAAGTATATTGCACATATTGCATGAAATATGTTCACGGATTCTGCTTAAGAGTTACATAAAAGTTTTTACAGATTAACACAATAATGCAATAAAAAAGGTTCATTGAAATCCCTTCAGCAGTTTGATACTATAAATTATAATATCTATCACTCTAGAATAATTCTTATAAAATATGATCAATCAGATGTTACGGGATTATTAGAACTATTGTACCTATCTTGTTAAATTCGTTTTGGTAAATCCCCCATTGTTAAAGTGAAATATAAATAAAGATAGGAAAGTCTTCTTTGATATATAGTATGGAGTTTTGATATTTAGGGGATTTCCCAAAGAATGTTGCAGAAGTATTATTGTGTGTACAATTTTATTGCAATTGATTCGGGAATTCCCCAACAGCTTAAGTGAAACATAAATAAAGACACGAATGGCCTGTGCAATGAATAGTACAAATTGGTCATTGGACAAAATTATAATTATAACCACTTATGTTAATTGCTACACATCTTGTTTTTTTGAAATCCACTTCTTCTATTCCATCGTCAAGCGCATATCAAACAAAGTTTTCTGATGGACAAATGGGTACTTTGATTGCTTACATATTAATCGTTACTCACGTGTAATTTTTGCCTTTACAGTAGTAGAAAATAGGGAGTTAAGTTTTTTTTTGAATTCGGCATCCGTATTAATATTATAAATGTGAAAGTTTGTGAGTATGGATGTTTGTTACTCTTTCACGCCAGAACGGCTGAACGGATCTAGATGAAATGTGGCACGAGATAGATTATAGTTTGGAATAACACATAGGCTACTACTACACTATTTTATCCCTGAAAAATGTACGGTTCCCTTGGGATAGATTTGTTTTTGTAAATTATAATGACGAAACCTGACAAGTACTATGCCTGAAGTGATTCAACAGATGTATAAAATTGTCAAAAACTCTTATTTAGCATTTACGAGTGATTTACCCTCGTTTCTCTCGGGTGCTTCGATAGGTACTTTTTAAATAGATATAAATAGTTATTGCGAATGTACCTTAGGAGAAAGGTTTTTGTTGTGTTTTCCCGTGGGAATAAAAGATTTTCGTGTTGTAAAAGATATCCTAAATGTTGACTCGAGTAATAAGTTATCACTGTACAAAATTTTGTTAAAATCGGTTCAGTACTTATTGCGTTAAACTCGCACATTGAATTCGCTAAGTTACTGTTTTAATGTTTAATTATACGAGTACGTATTGATAACTTTCTGTTAAATTTAAAATTTTGTCTGTAACTTTGATCCCCTTAAAACAATACACTTATTGACAACAGAGGCAGTATTGTAGCCAATGTCGAAGCTTATCTATCTCTGATGATGGACCTGTTGTCAGAGCGGCTCCTCATCAAGGACTATCACGCATGCTACCCGGTGCACGAGGATCTGGAGATGTTGAAGCAGGCATATCCTGATATGTATCCTTTAATATATTGTGTTTGAAATAGATTTCGATTTTTTCTTTATATTTTAATTAGGTTTTGACTTTCTATATTGCGAAAAATAGAATGGAAATAAGTATAAAATTAATTTATTTGACTTTTACACGTGTTGTAAATGGTGTTTAACAAACTTTTTTTTGCATTTTTACTCATTGTATTGTGATAAGCTTTGATATATTCTTTCATGTTGTAAGTGTAAGTAAATTTTAAACCATTTTTTTGCCTAAAAATATATCCTTAGCCCGCTCTCAGTGATACGGTAAAGACTGATTTTATATTACAAGCGATATATTCAAACATCGACGAACCGATCCCCGAAGAGCTGATAAACTCTCATACCATAGATAATCTAACAAACGGCCACATCGAGTCCATAGACAACGCTCCAGGACCGTCAAAAGACAACGAAATACCAGATAGTATAAGGGAGCAATCATTAATTAGCGAAGTAAAAGATATTTTACCACATTTGGGTGATGGCTACGTTCTGAAATGCTTGCAACACTATAGTTTTAGTGCGGAACGGGTTATTAATGCAATATTAGAGGATACTTTGGCAGATTCTTTGAGAGGTAAACGCTAAATAAATTTTGCAATAAATTCATTTTCTCCTTACAGTCAGGGTTGTCCATAAATTTTGGAGGCTATATTTTACATGTATTTTTATCTATATTTTTAGGTTTAGACACGAGTCTTCCAATAATCCCAGAAGATATTGTAGATAAGAAATATTTAGAAACTGGCATTGAAAGGCTCAATGTGTTCGATGGAGATCAGTTCGACATCATGACACGAGATGACGTCGACTTATCCAAGATTCATGTTGGAAAAAAGAAGGAAAAATACAGAAATATGAAAGACATGCTGGATGATAAGACTGAGGTTAAAAAGAGAGTGGATATATACAGTAAATATAAGTAAGTAGTGGTTTGTTGGATTTGAACTACATACTTTTATTTTACATTTCTATCAATTTCTTTATGGCCTTTTGTCCGTATAACATAGCTATTGTGCTTAGAGACTATTCGTCGTTTTAGTGCTTATTTGTTCAAACGACCAATACTTGTTGTAATTTACAGTAGAGAGTATTGTTTCCCTATTTCAAGAACAAAGCACATATATAGATAAAATACATCTTTTCAGCTTTTTAAAAGAAAAAGGTATCTTTTATACCAATAGAATTGATATTTAAAAATCTATGGTTTTATATTAAAAACTCTTTAAGTAAATTGGTTGTTTCGACAAATAAGCAATGAGACGACTTATTGTTGTATATAGCTGAAATTTGTGGGTTAGGTATGTCAAGTAAACCACTAACTAAATGAGGGTTAAAATAAAATATGGAAATAAATGAAATAAAATTAAGTACGCTTGAAGCCTGCGGGGTACGTTTTTAAAAAATAGATAGATGTTTCTAAACAATTTTTTAATTATTATTATTTATTATCCCCAAATATGCTGTTCACATGTATCCTTATTCCAGCCTGGTGTGCGACGAAGTGTCGATGTATTCTGACGAATACGACGACACGTACGACTCGGACGGCATCGCGCCGACGGACGCGACCGACGAGCGCCGCCCCTTCGTCACACCTAGAGCTCTGCAGAAGAGAGAAGTACAGGTCAGTGTGGCCACAGTACAAAAATTATACGTTCAATATATTCACTCATTCATTTTAATTTTCGTTCGGTCATTTTAACGGAAAATAGTTTAGAATCATTCATTTTAACAGAAATGCTGTCAAATTTATGGGTTAAAATAGCAATTTTTATGGCAAACGGTCTCCAAATTTAAGCTCTCTACAGTGACATCTCGTGGCAACTTGCAGTATTAACCGATAAACCTGAAACTTTTCCCGAATGACATAATATGAAAGGGTAGATAAGACAGTCGGGTGCGTCTCACTCGCGCACTCCGTGCAATAAGTCGCTAGTAATAATATAAAAATAATTAGATTCTCCTGTTACTCTATATTTCTTTTATTCTCAAAGTCTGATAGACAGACGACATCTCGACAATCACGGTTAGAGATAAGGCCTACACAGACGGCCATACACGCTACCCACTAGTGCCTACTTCACTAAACCAACATAGTATCTATATAGAGAACATCATCAAATCATTTTTTTTTCCAGGAGGAATCGGATGAGTCAGAGGAGGTAGAGGAAGAGAAGCCAAATAACAATAGAAATAGAATTGACTTTTGCGTGAACCCTGAGGAAATGAGGGCTCGCAGGGAAGCGAATATTCAAGTTCGTAGGGGGAAGGGTCATCGTCCGCCACCACCAAGGTATGCCGTATGAGTGATTTGATATCTGTAAATCTTAGTATAACCATGGGATCTCATCAGAAACTAAGACAATCTATTTCAAATAAATGTCAATAGATGGCACTATATGTATCGAATTGTTATTAAAGTTTGTATAAAATTAATAAAAGATGATAAATAGATCCCAAAAAGGTATAATAGTAGGATTTAAAAAAAGTCTCTTAAGTAAATCAAAGTAAAATATTGCTCTTGAATCCAATATGCACAAATTTACAGAGCAATTAGGTAAAGAGCTTGTAGGGTATACTCACAGATGGCGCTTTTACTTTTTGTGAATTACTTTATTCTACACTTAAAGAATATTTAATTTACTGAAATTTACTTATTTGGATTCCAGGTGAATTGCGCAATATATGTATGTATTTTAGTTCAACGTATTAAATTTAATTAATAAAATAAAACAGTTCGAAATTTGGGAATAAATGACGAATAGCCCGAACTACCGCGTCCATTTTCTTTGTATAGGATGAGGCATCTGTACTAGTATCGTATTATTTGATCTGTGATATAACAGTCGATAATGTGAGGACACATTTTATTAGTCTTTTTGGCAGTTTTAGAAAAAGAGTGAAGTGGAATTAAAGCGGATCTCGCACTTTCTTAATTTTCATGTACAAACATCATTTCCGATATGTTTTATAGTTAAAACAGAAAGTTAAGAAATCTGCATGTCTGAGAGAATATCTAGTTTTTTCACAATATCTAGTTTTTGAGGCGAAAGACGTGATAGATCATTCCCGGCAGTGGGACGCTAATAAATTTTTTTTTTCTTTAAATAAAATAACTGATAGTGGACGTTTTAATAACTTTTTAATAGCTTCAAACCATTCAGAGGTAATACAAAATGAAAATAGACAATTAGAAATTTTTTTTTACTAATCGGACTACTATATACTAAGATTTATTTAAACAAAATTTTGAAAAATTAATTTAATTTGTCTCTATTTTTTGGACATAAACAATGAAAATTTCATTATATTCATTATATTGAGTTATATTTTTTTTTCAGAAATACAGATGTTGTCGGGAAACCTAAAGGACAAGGACAAGAAAAGGAGGTGTTAGTAAGTAGAGATAAAAAAGAAAAACACAAATCAGCTCGAGCCAATCATAATCGAAGACAAGGCGCTCAGTGGAAACGCAGCCAAGGAATGATGCCTTCATAACTTATTTAAGTGAAATAAATCAATACATTATAATGATTTTTTTAATTCAATTTTTTTATTAAATGATACCAGCCTTTAAACAAAATTTAAAAGTAGAGGGTGGTAGAAAGTGGAACTTAAAAGAAGTAAAGCTTTTTCTTTAAATTGGAAAACTTTTAAGATGTGGCCTATTCTCTTAAAAAAATATTAAAATCAGCTCCCATTTGGCCACTATGTCACGTAATATACAGACAAGATGGCGGGGACGTTTTTACTCATACTTAGCACAGGTGCATTATTTACAGGATAAAAAATAATCATCTTTGTTTAAATTTGTTTACTATATAAAAATGTATTGCCAGTTGTTGTCTAAATTAATTTTCCAGAGTGTTGCCAGTATCACAATTTTTTAAGGTTATATGTTAACAGATAACTTTTGTATATGTTTTACAGGTTAACTAAATATTCAGTTTGTTGAAACCTATTATTATGCAATATCTTTTTATATTATTTTTAATTTAATGTTTTATGTATTTACTTTCCATCCACAACTGTAAATCTGAAATCATTAAGATGTCACCACATTTTTTTTTAATTTAAATTTTAGTTTTAGATGTAAAGTTTTTCCAAAATAAGTATAACTAGTTATTCGCCCTCACATCTTCTAGGCCCGATATTCAGTACATTCTGAAATACATCAAAATGAGAAACTAAAGAACAGAGTATCGCTTTGTGGGTATTATTAAATTAGTAAGTATCATGTGAAAAATAGTTTGTTTATTCAGCTATACTACAAATATTATATATTTATATTTTACTAGCAACTCACCTTCGCTCCGATCGGGTTCGTCCCTGGGTACGTTTTAACGTTTAGTAGTGATTTCTAAGAGATGAGATATTTTCCCGCGGTAAAAAGTACCTTATATGTTGACCCGGATAATCAGCTATCATCATACCAAATTTCATCAAAATCTGTCTAGTGGTTTTCTAGTAATGCGTTGCCAGACAGACAGACAAAAATAAAACAAAAACTATAAATTCGGCCTCTGTGACTATTTCAATAAGATTTTTAAAGGAAGGGGGTAAAATAGGCGATGTAAGTTTTTATGAAATCTACCTTTTTTGAGTTTTTTTTTGTAGTTTTAGCGCGAGCGAAGCCTTGGGTTCTGCTAGTGATAATATAATGTAGAAAAAAGCTCGGAAACTCAATGTACCTATATATACCTGAAAGATTAAAATGACTAAAAACATGATTATTTTTATTTTTTTATTTTATTTAATCATTTATTTCAGGCAATATTTACAAAAGGATCTTAAATATATATAAACTGAAGCTCATAGCATATATACCTTAAAACTAACATATATATTAATTATAAAACTTAAAAAAAAACTTAAAAACTATTTAACACGTAGTGCAGTCGTGTATACATATTATATGTATACCTACCAGTTTTTTTTAACGTCTCTAAATTACAGTTACAGAAAAATAACTATAGGTACTTGGAAATAGACCCATTACATACCATACTAATATCATAATATGTGTACAATGTACCGTGTGTACACCTTTGAATATAAAATTAAATTTTAAACTTCCTGGAAACAATTTCGCAAACAACACTTTACTTTCCATATAAATATTATATCGTATATACCAATACAAGCACGAGTTGACTATGAATAGACGAGCGTGTTCAGAATTGCAATAGCTTATCTTTGAGATATAGCCGCGAAGTGGCTTGCGTCATGAGAGTAGCGACCAGCGGACAAACCAGAATGAAGATTGAAATTTGAAGTACTCTGTATATTAAAATTAGGAATATAGCCTCACTTCAGGTTCCTAACAAGCATGTGCTACTCTAGGTCTAGGTCATAACTCATAGCCTAATGTGTACAACCAAATAAGTCCAGCCGTTTCAGCGTAAATTAGTATATCCATAATAATATTATAAATGTGTAAGTGTGAGTTATGTTTTTGGAGGCAGCCAGGGGATGCAAAGAAATGCAAATTAACTTAAAACTAATTTATTAACTAAAATTTCTTACTACTAAAGTGACTGTCGATCGATGTTAGATCAAATCAGTGAAGATGCAGCCAAGTAATGCCTTTTATACTACAATATTGTAGGAAGTTGTGACATTGGCATTGATGAAATGTAGGTGGCTGCTGCGCTTGCACTTGCGCCTGACCTTGTCTTGTCGTCGCCGCGCGAGGTTTGTAGAGCAAAGCTGATGCGACGATTCGAGTTCCGTAACATGTGTTTGTTTGTTTGTTTGTTTGTTTGTTTGTTTGTTTGTTTGTTTGTCCTTCTTTCACGTCGAAACGGAGAGACGGATTGGCGTGATTTTTTATGTGGAGATAGTTGGAGAGCTGGAGAGTGACACAGGCTACTTTTTACCGCGTGAGATTATCTAATTCCCACGGAAAAACACGTTATAATACAATCCAGAAAAATATTTATGATCAGAATTACTCGAAGCTTGGTATTAATGCGCTTCAATAAAATTAAATAAATACGTGTTTTAGCATTTTTCGAAATTCATTCTATAAGGGGGTAAATAGGGGATGAAGGTTTGTATGAAACTATCTTATTTAGATATTTTTTTGTAGTTTTAGTGCGAGCCGAGCCGTGGATTCCGCTAGTATATATATAACAAAAAAACCTATGAACAAAGTCTAGATATCTCTATTCAATTTATATAGGTATCGCTGTATTTAGCTCTGAGGCCAGCACTTTAGCTCAAAGGGACGCCGCATCGTAAAAGCTTCACAACGCCATAACTTAACATCTACGTCTTCATACATTCGTACAACTTCGAAGCGCGTGCTGCAAGCTCGTAATTTTCAACCTGCCTCTATGAATAATTATTTTCCATACTCGATATAACTATTCGTATAATGCTATAACAGTCCGTGCGTAAACACTGATGAGTTGTGTATCCTGGTTTCATAATTAAATACGTTAACTTATTATACTTGTATGGAGTCTTATTATTTTTAAATATACCTTTTTTCCTAATTAATATTTTGCAACTCAATATATAGGTTGTTTCACGAAACAATTATTTATTTTAATAGCTTATAAAAGCTATAGCATATAAATGCTAGTTGAGCACAAAATATTTCGCCAATGTCCGGTTAAATGAAAGGGTCAGGTTGGAGTTTTAATTAATTTTTACAGCAAATGTCTTGACAAGGATCGAATTGTTAACTTCTAAGTTACAGTTATTAAATGTTTAGTGAAACCTTGCCTGATACTACCATCTGATAATACAAAAAAAGGAGTTATAAGCGCAAAAACAGACCGACAGAAAAACGCTATGCTTTATAAATAAGTAAATAAAAAATTATGAATAAACAAAAATAATTATATGAAACAAATATAATTAATTTAAGCTTACATCTAAATTGCATTTTGCAAACTTCGCTTTCATTTCTATACCTCAATAAGAATACAAATTAAAGCTACAAGTGTAAAACCCACACCATTTCCAAGCCGGCTCACCGACCAAGCTAATAACCAAACAAAAACATCTACAAATCATTATATTCCATAGAATATAACTACGAAAAAAAAACAAAAGTAATAACACATCTTCCGCACAGAGTGCAGTCGTCGTAGCCATAATGTTAATGTCAATATAATCGTGCCTCATCGATCTCGGGCAGCATTTTATTATATTGGCCGTAATGGCGGCATTAGGGCGGGCCGGCAGGATTTAATAATCGAGCGGCGAGCGGAGGATAAAATTGCGACTGTCGGTGCGTACATCGCTGGAGGCGGTAGGGAGGTACGCTACTACACTATCGATATTTTATTTTTTAATAAAAATTATTATAATGTTGTGCGAATTTGCTGTAGTGTTTGTATATGCTGCTTTTTTGTTTGTTTGTTTGTAAACCTATTGGCCGTGATTAAATATCTCTGGAGGCTGTTCTTGAAATTAGCAAATTCGATTAGTAAAATTACAATGTATGAATATATAACAAAAAAACGGTAAAAAAGCTCAAATAATCCTCATCATGCATATACAGAACAAAGAAGCCTTCAACTCTTCCAGGTCACTTTAGGATAGATGTGACATTAAAAAGGAAAAAGGAGTACATCGTATAGATGTAATAAAAAATAATATTATACTATATATATATATATATATATATATATATATATATATATATATATATATATATATATGTCGTGTTATCCATATACTACGAACATCATCTTTGGTGGTTACTCATATCGTGGGCGTTATCAGGACTCAAATAATAAAGTATTCAGTGCTCAATACACAATTTAATTAGGGAAGTCACAATGTTATAAACTTGAAACGGTAATTCTAATGATTTAGAGCTAGCGGGTTCACAGTCACCGATCATCGACTTCCAACTACAATATCAAACATAACTCTCTATGATCAACCGACTTTACTACACCACGTATCTGCAAAGAATGTCGTGATGGCGTCTCGACCCCGCTCGAGACTAAATCTCTGCTCTAAATTCAAAATAACTTTAAAAGCAATAAAAAGTAAATTAAAGAACATAGTGACTTTAAACAATAATAAGGTTTCATAACAGAAAAAGGTAACTAAATCCTCCTCCGTCTTATATATATATATATATATATATATATATATATATATATATATATATATATATATATATATATAGCATTTATCATTATTATTATTACAAAGGTAAAAATATACATACATACAAAAATGTGGTGGAAAAGGGGAAGTATGGCAGTAAGAATTTATTCCAATTGAAATATTTAAGTCAGAATATTTAGCTTGATTATAATTTACATCGATAAAAGTTCAGGGATAAGATCATTTCATCGATAAAACTGACTGTCTCGACTTCAAATTTCACTCAAACTTCAATCAACAATATTAGTGTGGTAACCGTCCCGGGGACGATATAATGCGTATTTTTAATATTATAAATGTGAAAGTTTGTGAGTTTGTATGGATGTTTGTTTGTTACTCGTTCACGCTAGAACTGCTGA